ACGGAACTTACTACTGAGATGTGCTGTTAGTTATGTACAAAGCCGAGGCGCAGCCGACTTTTTGTCCTGTCTGATTGTGAGCTTGTTCTGCAAAGCATCATCATTCGTGTTTCCAGTCTTTCCATTCAGGGTATCCTTTGGTGAACAAGCTTGCAATGCAAATCAACCATGCCCGCCTCAACAGCCTGAAAAAAGGACTTGCCGTATGCTGAGATCAGAACTGACATTAGCAGTGAGCCTTGAGTTTCATGTTGCACAACAACAGCCGGAAAATCTTGTGCGTTCCAGTGGCTCCGAGCCTCTTTTTGTACCTCCCCACAGAGGGCCCTTACAGGCAGCTATGGAGGCCAGCGAGCTTGGTCTGCCTGAGGGGTCGTCACAATGAGATAGCGGAAATGTGGCCAAAATCATCAAAGACAGTGCGCATGTCATGTTTTCTTCACCCGCTTGTCTTTGGACTGCAGAACTGTGCTGTTCAGTTGGCCTTCGTCGCACCAACAGTTAGCACTGCGAGCTCGGTCGTGAGCTAAGCAGTTTCGCAAGGAGGACCAAAGCACGTTGTCATGATGTTGTCACGTTGCCCAAATGGCACGCGTTGGATTCTTGCTGAGGCTGGCAGCTCCAGCCTGCCAGCCCAGGCCCCGCGCACAGGACTTCGAGGTTCCTTGGAGTATGGTCACACTATCTTACCGCGTCAGGCTAGTTTGTTAACAGTATATAGTCCCGTTCTTCTACTAGTTTTGACATGTTTTGTGTGGTGATGTTGTCTGATTTTGCATCATCGCACAGGCACGCAGGCAGAAACCGGCTCCTTCGGGGTCAAGGCGAGGTCCTCTGTGCCTGTTCTGTCACGTCGTGTCTTCAGGGTTTTACAAGATGGAGGATGCAGTATAAGTCTAGGGAGTTGAGCAGGCTTATAAGTCGAACGTCGGCCTTGCTGCTCCTTCAAGGTTTCTGATGTTTTGGGATCACAGCGGCATGAACCAAATTCCAGTGGCTGACACATCTTAACAGCGCTCATACAGTCATACAGTTTAGGCTCACAGCGTCACATGCTTCCAGATATAGTAAAATAGTATGGCTATGCGTCGCACAATGGGTAGGATTGTCACCATGACGCCATCCCTCGAAGCCCATTGCGCTGACGTGTTTTTTTTTCTCAGCTTCATGGAAACCAGCACTAGCTCTGTGCCGTGCCCTCTCAGAGGCCCTCGAAAAATCCCCAATAATAGAATGCCCAGAAATCCCTACATGTCCCCACGTAACCCCTATGAAAGCTGAACAATGCCCCAAACCCTAAACCCTAAATCAACCAGTAAGATTCAGGCTGCCGTGCTCTGTGGCGCAGCTGCCGCCGCCGGCCTCGCCTCGCGAAGGCGTACGGCGCGCCGGGCCGAGCAGGCTGCCCCTGGCAGCGGGAACAGCGAGCATCGAGTAGCGGTGTTGGTAGGTCCCTGTAAAGGTGCTATTCATGGTTATTCCGGGTTTAGTGTTTAGAGAGAATAAGTGTGGTGGAGAATCAGATGGAAAAAGTAATCGAACATGAAACGGAAACTGCGGTTCTGTCAAGGCTTTATGATGTTTTACAGGAGTTTCTCAAAAGGCAATGTCAGGAGAGTCCTGGATACACCGGAATTACAGGGACATGTTTGGGTGACAATATCGGTCAGAATTCGCAAAATGCCTGTATGAGCACTTTAAGATTCTTCCGTGACCTTACAATCGCCCCGCAAAAAAAGTGTAAACTGAGTCCTGAGCATGCTAAGATGTACATATGCAGAGGTATTTTGCATACGCCTTCTACACGCAAACAAAAAGTTAGGACAGGTACAGTAGATTTTGTGTTGGACATGCGCATCTATGTGTGGATCATGTGTGTTCTTGTCTAATAATGCAGCGGGTATCCTATTGAGGCTTGGTTGTTATCACATGAGTGGTCTTCGCTCAGAAAATGTTAGGTACATAGATGCACGGGGTTCTTCGACAGTTCCTTTAAATCATGGCCCTTTCTGATAATTAGGCTCCTTCTATTGCACGAGCATGCAAAAGGATCCCAAATTCAAGGAGATAACATGGGCTTTAAGGGTTTCCAGAAATGCGGACAGGGTGAGGGATCCGGAAGAGAATTTCTCCATAGCTTCCGGCTCATATTTTTGACCTGAGATCATCTCGGGCTGATAAATAAATTGGAGCGGATACAAATGTACAGAAGGGTCATACAAATTTGAGAAGAGCCTGGGGTTTGAAGCGTGTACTTTATACAGTCATACACAGTTTTTGGGGCAAGTATATGGAGGCTACGTACAGGTCATTTGGAATGCAGACCAATCTTGAACTGCTGTAAAGTCTTAAAGTGGCTCTCGTACTTATTCTGGAACACCATTCTGATGATTTCCTGGGATGAGCAGCGGGTCCATGGCCTCATGGAAGGTTGTTCTACTGGGGTCTGCTTAGGTTTTGCGCCCCCCAGGCACAAGCTTTTTTGTTGTGAAAGTGTGTCGTTTGGTTTGGTAGGCTTCAGGGATCACCAGCTCTTCAGCTTCTATAACAAAATTTCTTTCAAACTTGAAGGTTTCG